TCATTCTCCCAGGCTGACCTTTACCCATTCCTTTGTCTGTCCTACTGTTTTTCTCTCTCTCTGGGCTTCATCTCCACCTGTCCTTTACCCTTCCTCCTCCTTCCATCTTTAGTATATATCTTTTCCCAGCTACAATCAGTTCTGAAAAAGGGTCACTCTACCAGAAACTTTAATTCTGTTTTCTCTCCACAGATGCTGCTAGATCGGTTGAGTTTTCCCAGCAATTTTTTTCTTCATTGTTTCTGATTTCTAGCATCTGCGGTTCTTTGATTATTTTGTTCAGTAATTATTATTTGAATCTGCACAAACACTGTTCAGAATGGGTGTGACAGGTGTGCAGATGAACTAATGGCCCAGACATGTTTGAATTTGATGTCTTAAATCTGTACATTAAATGCTTTTACTGTAAAATAAGGATTGGGGATTGGAATTGTAGATGAAGTTGAGAATCAACCACATTCCTGTAGGTGTGAAATGATACATAAATCAGACCAGGGAGGGATAGTAGATTTGCTTCCCAAAGGGGCATTTAGTAATATGCTGAGCTGTTTTAACCATTCCACAATTTCATTACTGATATTCTCATTTTGTTTTCTCATATTAAAAGCTGAACTTAATCCATTAAACAACCATTGAAACTCAGTTGTGAATTAACAACCTACCACACAACTAAGTTCCCCACATTTCCACTGTAACTCATTTCAAAGCCCAACTCAAATGCTTTCTTTGGCAGGGAGCTTCAAAAGTCTATTGACCTTGTCGTAAAAACACGGTTTTGAAAAGTCGTATTGGACTCAAAATGTTAATCCTCTTTCTCTCTCCACAGATGCTATCTGGCCTACTGAGAATTTCCAGCACTTTCAGATTTTTTTTCAGCCCTCCAGCATCCACATATTTTGCTTTTACAAAGATCTAAATAGGGAAGAACATACAATAAGTTGTTGACCCACTGCTGCTCATTTTCTAACTTCATCAAAAATTAGGATTACCTTCACTGTGTCAGCACAGGCCTTGCAAGGACAGCAGATTCCCTTCTCCAAAAGACATTGAGTGAACCAGTTCAACATTTGTAACCACAAGGCAGTTTCATTCTTATTATTTTCTGTGATGCCAGCCAGAAACGACCAGATTTCTGAAGAAGGATCTAGGCCTGAAACGTCAGCTTTCCTGCTCCTCTGATGCTGCTTGGCCTGCTGTGTTCATCCAGCTCTACACTTTGTTATCTCAGATAATTTTGCCCTTCTTTCTTGTTGAAGTCTGTACAATTAATCACCATAGCATTACTTCAAGCAAACGTGGAAGCAATTCATTGGTCCACTAAAGGAAATACATATTTCTCACTCATTTTCTTTGAATGCCTTTATTGCTTATTGTTGAAGGTGGCGGCACGGAGGCTCAGTGGTTGGCACTGCTGTCTCACAGCACCAAGGACCCGAGTTCAATCTCAGCCTTGGGTGACTGTCTGTGTGGAGTTTGCACATTCTCCCTGTGTCTGTGTGGGTTTTCTCTGAGTGCTCCAGTTTCCTCCCATAGTCCAAAGATGTGTACATTAAGGTGGGTTGGCCATGCTAAATTGCCCCATGGTGCCCAGGGATGTGCAGGCTAGGTGGGTTAGCCATGGGAGATGCAGGGTTACAGGGATAGGGTAGGTGTGTGTGTCTGGGTGAGATGCTCTTCAGAGGGTCAGTGTGGACTTGATGTGCTGACTGACCTGCTTCCCCACTGTAGGGATTCGTGGAGAAAGATTGATTGATTTATTGTCATGTGCACTGAAATACAGTGAAAAGCTTTGTTTACGAGCAGTACAGGAAAATCACAGGAAGCAAAGTACGTACAGACCAAAAAGACTTAAAGGCATGCAGGTTACATTATTTGAGGCTAGATTCCATTCAACAGTCTAATAATGGCTAGGAAGAAGCTGTTCCTGAGCGTGCTTGTGCGTGTGTTCAGGCTTCTGTATCTTCTGCCTGGCGGAAGATATTGTAGGAGGTCATTACCAGGGTGCCATGGGACTTTGATGACGTTGGCTGCCTTTCCATGGCAGCGAGCCGTGTGAATAGAGTCCATGGATAGAAGGTGGCTTCAGTGATGGTCTGGGCTGTGCACACCACCTTCTGTAGTTTCTGATGGTCCTGGACAGAGCAGTTGCCATACCAGACCATTATGCACCCGGACAGTATGCTTTCAATAGTGCATCTGTAGAAGTTAGTGAGGGACCTTATGGACATAGATCATAGAATCCCTACAGTGTGGAAACAGGCCCTTCGGCCCAACAAGTCCACACAGATCCTCAGAGCACCAACCCAAACCCATCCCCCTTTAACCCACCTAATGTACAAATCCCTGAACACTACGGGCAATTTAGCATGGCCAATCCACCTAGCCTGCACATCTTTGGGCTGTGGGAGGAAACAGGAGCACCCGGAGGAAACCCACACAGACACAGGGAGAATGTGCAAACTCCACACAGACAGTTGCCCGAGGGTGGAATGGAACCCGGGTCCCTGGCGCTGTGAGGCAGCAGTGCTAACCACTGTGCCACCATGCAGCCCTGCCAAATTTCCTGAGCCGCCCAAGGAAGAAGTGATGTTGTGATGCCTTCTTGACTGTCACATTTATATGTGAAGTCCAGGGCAGGTCCAGGACTAGTTGCAGGTCCAATTGATGTGGGGTGCTGTGTCTTATGAGAATAGTTGTGCCTGTTGTCCAGTAGGTAGAGAGAGGAGATTATGCCTGATTGACCTTAACTCCACTTTCTTGTCCATTTCCCTAGAATTCTTGATCCCTTGGGAGATCAAAAATGTGGTGAATCTGCCTGGATTACTTCCAACCAGAGTAAGTAATCCTGGAAAAATGGCAAGTGGGTCTTCACGGTGTTACATTTTGGGACACTGAGTCTTCTCATCATCTGCAGAGGATTGTTAACATTAGATACATCTTCCTCAGGCATGAGTCTCCTGACAGACAAAACAATATTCCTGTTGTGTGCTCCATTTGAGGCTGCAATACAAAGATTCAGCACTAGAGTGTGACAAAAAACTTTGGGTGACAAGATCAGCAAATAGTTTAAAGTTTTCACTAGTTAATTTTCCCTTCCCAAGCCGCCAATATGTGTTTCAGAGTTTTGAGAATTTATATCACAAAGTCACTACCAGAAATCATTTTACCAATAGATTGTACACGAAAGTAGTCTGAAATTAAACCAATGACAAATAAACAATTTGTAGATATGTTGCCGCATCTCTAAACTTGACACTTCAGTTGGAAGGTTGTAAGTTCAAGTCTCAAACCCAAGGTCTGAGCCCAGTATCTATCCTGATGCTCCTAGTGCAGTACTACAGGAGTGCCACACTGTCAGATTTGTCTTCTTTTAGATCAGAAAAGTAACTGAGACCCTATATATCCTTTTAATAGAATAGAAGGTATACCATGAGTATAACTTTAATAAAAAAGTCAAGGAAATTCTCCCAGTGCACTGTTTATCTCTTGCCTAAAGCCTCTGGAACAAAACTCTGTTCATTATTATAGAGATAGTAGGAACTGCAGATGCTGGAGAATCTGAGATAACAAGGTGTAGAGCTGGATGAACACAGCAGGCCAAGCAGCATCAGAGGTGCAGGAAAACTGACGTTTTGGGCCTAGACCCTTCTTCAGAAATGGGGGAGGGGAAGGGGGTTCTGAAATAAATAGGGAGAGGGGAATTCAGATAGAAGATGGATAAAGGAGAAGATAGGTGGAGAGGAGACAGACAGGTCAAAGAGGTGGGGATGGAGCCAGTAAAGGTGAGTGTAGGTGGAGAGTTAGGGAGGGGATAGGTCAGTCCAGGGAGGACGGACAGGTCAAGGGGGCGGGATGAGGTTAGTAGGTAGGAGATGGGGGTGGGGCTTGAGGTGGGAGGAGGGGATAGGTGGGAGAAGGACAGGTTAGGGAGGCGGGGACAAGCTGGACTGGTTTTGGGATGCGGTAGGGGGAGGGGAGATTTTGAAGCTTGTCCCGGGGAAACCAAGCGGAGGCTTGGGGACCGCTTTGCAGAACACCTACGCTCGGTTCGCACTAAACAACTGCACCTCCCAGTTGCGAACCATTTCAACTCCCCCTCCCATTCCTCAGACGACATGTCCATCCTGGGCCTCCTGCAGTGCCACAACAATGCCACCCGAAGGTTGCAGGAACAGCAACTCATATTCCGCTTGGGAACCCTGCAGCCCAATGGTATTAATGTGGACTTCACAAGCTTCAAAATCTCCCCTCCCCAGCCACATCCCAAAACCAGTCCAGCTTGTCCCCGCCTCCCTAACCTGTCCTTCCTGCCATCTATCCCCTCCCACCTCAAGCCCCACCCCCACCTCTT